ATCCCGCCATTAATGAAGAGGGAAGCTCAAATGGTAGAGATTCAAAATCCAGTGAAAATGAGGAAACAAAAACAATCGTTAATAGCAATATTCAAGGAATCAATAACTCAATGATGTTCAACAGCTCTGTTACTGAAAGGAACCCAGGTGTTCATTTAGATTTTTCTCGTAATATAGTGAGCAACAACGAATCAAAGATGGAGAATAGGGGGTCAATGGAGACGCACAAGGCTGAAGCCAACATTACCCCACAACAGACACTCGTTTATGATCCCACAATCGAAAGATGCCTTGAAGGGGTTTCCATGGAGGCTTGCGACCTTGAAGCAGATGATGACAAGAAATCAGGCAAAGGTTATGAGATAGAGGTTGCTTGATTTAAACAAGAAATACCTAGAAAATAAGGATGATATCCATCATGTCTATTACGTTTGGTCATGTATTTTAGGTTGACTTAATGAACGAACACAAGTTAAATAACAAAATTTTTATATCGTTTCTAACTTTTCAATGATATATAAGATTCAGGGTCACTCGAGATAGTATCGTTAAAGTTCGATCCCAAAGCTGATGAAGGAATCTTTCTTGAATATTCTTTAGTGTCCAAAGCCTTCAGAGTATTCAACAAACAACGACAAATAATAGAAGAAACTATTCATGTCACTTTTGATGAATCTCATTCAGCTAATTCAAAACCCATCTTAAATGATGAAGATGAATTAGAAAACTAGATGTTTTCTCATTATGGACAACCTGAAGCTTCCTTCAGCATTCTTCTCAACACTGAAGCCCCAGAAGTTGAAGATGAATCGTTAATCATTCCAGTTGCAGCTACTCACACCAACGTGTCTTCTTCAGAGATCGTTGTTGTGCCCATTAGTTGTGTTCCTCCATCTACTTCAAACGCTGATCAATCAGTGAATGAAATGCCTTTAGCATCTGAACCTATTTCAGTTTGCTGAATCTGAGGCTTCTTTTGCAATTGTTCCAATTGTTGAAAATATTGCAGTTGAAGCCTCATCCACTATTCTTGAACTTCTCTACTCAGATGATAATCCTCTACCGGCTCAGCGATGGACTAAAGACCATCCAATTCATCAAATTCTTGGTGATCCAGATGCAGGTATTCAGACTCGTCGTGGTCTAGGTTATATCTTCGTGGTCTAGGTTATATCTGTCTCTTTGTCAACTTTTTCTCTTTAGTTGAACCCAAGAAGATCAGTGATGCTATCTCAGACCCTAGTTGGGTCATTGTCATGCAAGAAAAGCTATTTGAGTTTGATAGGAACAAAGTCTGGTACGTTGTCCCACATCCATCTAATAAGATTGTGATAGGCACCAAATGGGTCTGTCGCAATAAGTTAGATGAAGAAGGCGTGGTAACCCGTAACAAGGCTTGACTTGTTGCTCAGGGTTATAGATAAGAAGAAGGGATCGACTATGATGAAACCTTCGCACCTGTGACTAGACTCGAAGCAATTCGACTCTTTCTAGCCTTTGCTGCCCATAGAGACTTCAAAGTCTACCAAATAGATGTAAAGAGCGCTTTTCTTAATGGAAAAATTCAAAAGGAAGTTTATGTTGAACCACCTCCAGGGTTTCTTGACCCTAAGTATCCAAACCATGTCTATCGTTTGGATAAAGCTCTTTATGGGTTGAAACAAGCTCCCCGTGCCTGATATGATACCATCTCCTCATTTCTCATCTCTGAGAAATTTTTCCGTGGAAAGATTGACCATACCTTATTTCTTAGAAAAGTTAATGGTCATATCATTCTAGTCCAAATTTATGTTAATGATATTATTTTTGGATCCACTAATTCCTTTTTGTGTTTTCGATTCGCTGATCATATGAAGAAAGAATACCAGATGAGTATGATAGGAGAACTAACCTTCTTTTTAGGTCTCCAGATCAAGCAATCAGATAAATGTATCTTTATCAGTCAAAGTAAGTATGTCTGCGACATGCTGAAGAAGTTTGATTTATCAAATAGCTCATCTATGAAGACTCCAATGGATCCTTAAGGTTGTGTTTGGTACATGTGATGGAACATGACAGGATGAGACAAAACTCACTGTCCTATGTTTGGCTCAACATGGAACAGAACAAGAACTCACTGTCCCACGTTTGGCGTGACATAGGACATGGACAAGAACTGAAACATGGTGGGGCAACATGGGACAAAAAGGGCTTTTTCTTGTTCCACCGAAATAGGTGGAACAAGAATGAGACAAAAACTAAAATATTATTAATCTACCCTAGTTTGATATATAACCTTAAYATGATATTTGTTTTAATGGTCATCACCGCTAGTTTCAGCCACCGGCGGCCACCTCCACCTCGTCTTCCACTACAACAACATCTTCCATCGCCTCCACAACCATCGTCCATCGCCATCTTTATCATAGTTGACCATCAACCATCACTGTCTATTGCCACCACCACTGCTGTCGTTCGCCACCTCTAACTCTTCCTCTACTACAACAACCTCCTACATCACCTCCACAACTACCGTCAACCATCGATTACCACTGTTCATTGCCACCTTTACCACCAACACTACCACCGTTGGCCACCTCCAACTCCTCCTATACTGTAACAACCTCTTTCATGACCTCCACAATCACCGTCGACCACCGACCACTACTATCCATTGCCACCACTCACTACCACCACTGGCCACCTCTAACTCCTCCTCTACTACAACAACCTCCTCCACCGTCGACCATTGACCATGACAATCCATTGCCACATCACCTCCACCATAACAACCACCACCATTATCTTCACTAGATCAGCCACAAATACCTCATCCACCGTTGTGAATCTCCACCACCACCACAATACACCATCTTTACGTTCTCATAACCACCGTCGTCCACCAACCACCACTACCTCTTCCTCCATAACCACCATTGGCCACCAATCATCACTGCCCACCGCCACTACTATCGTCAGCCACCACCTCCACCATAACCAAAACAACCTCCACCACCACTACTACTACCATCAATTATAATTCATTCAAATTTGGTACCATTATATATGTATGTATTCATTTATATGAAAATTGTGTAAAAATATTATAAATTAAATTATTAAATTATTTACTTTATTTGTGTTAATAATAACCATTATATAATATTTAAAATCATCAAATAACTTTTGGAGGTAACTTGTCTAGTTCTGTCATGTTCAATCCTAATTGTATCAAACACTAGACATACATTTGTTCTTTTCAGTCCTACCCTCATGTACTGTTCAGTCTTGTTCAATCATGTATGCATACCAAACATTACCTAATAAAAACCTAAAAGAAACCATCATCTATAATTTTTTTATCACCTCCCCTAATTTTAAAATGAATTTCCATGAAATATTCATGGACATTCATTTTCCACGCAACAACCTTTGTTTCACTAGTAGATCGATCTATCATGGATATGGTGTTTAGATTTAATTTTTTTTTTAACTTGGTTTTTTTACATCTTCTTCAATAATTGGTTTATCCTCTTTTTGATGCAATTTTCCATTAAAAAAGCAATACTCCACAAATATTTACCATCATCAACAAAAAAAAAATTGAGCATTATGATTTAGATTCCTTAAATTTATATATTTTTCAGTTTTCAGTTTTTTTTATTATCTTATAATCTATATATAACATGAACAGACATATCATATCGTACTAGTATAATAATTGGATCTTTGCAAATCCAGCATATCTCATTTGAAGAGTTAAAGGTATGGTTTGATAGCAAAATACGTCTGTATCAAAAGATAGAAAGACTGTTTTTTAGAAAAACCTGTAATTATTAAAATGATGAATAATTTAATTGAAAGCTCTACTATAAATTAAAAAAAGGGAGGGTAATCATTTAAAATTTATCAAAAATACAACTAGAAAAAAAAAGTAATTTATTAGATTTTTCAATCTAATAGTATTTGCTCATGTGACAAGAGAACAACACATAAATTTTGTTCGGATTTGAGATGTTTACTCTGTTTTAATTTTTATGGAATAAGACGTGTTCCATAAATACCATGATAACTGATACTAGAAAACAAATTCAAATACGTCATAATTAAAAAAAAAACCAATTTTTGTATAGAAATGTACTTATATATACATTTTTGTTTTAAGGAAATAGCATAATTGGTTTCTAGATGATAAACAACTCGAGTTTGGCACTCATAATGTGATCACTTAGGAGGTGTTTGGGATTGTTTATAAAAATAACTTATTGATTTATTCCGGTGTGACACCGGTAATAAGCATTTTTGAGTGTTTGGATAAACAACTTGTGTTGGTGTCAAACCAATAATAAGAAGTTTTTGAATAAGTTAAACCCTTCTAACTTATAATATGTTGATAAGTATTTTTGTAGAAAAGCATAAGTTGTTTCAAATAAACAATCCCAAACACCCTCTTATACTAGGTTTGTCTCTTAGTATATAGTGACACTCTTAGTACTTAGCGATATTAGTACAAACCCTTTTGCATAAACTAGAAATTTACTCACGTAATCCAACGAGATACATTTCATTTTTAATGTTTCATTTTGTAATACGATTTTGTATGGTTTTGAGAAAACAATTATATTTTTATATTTAAATAAAATAAAAATTTGAAGACCCATATATAAACGACATCAGTATCAAATTAACAATTTTAAGGTTTTCGTTTTTTTGTATATTTTTTTAGTTCAATTTTTAGTATAATTTAATTTATGTTTAATAACAAAGTAATTTATTGTAGGTCTAATAATATAACTTTTTCATAAAAATAATAATTTAGTATTTTATTAGAACTTAATAATTATTTTAATTAAATTTTAGATTTTTTATATTTAAAATAAATGTTTATCTTGTATTTGACAATATTTTTTTATGTTTAAAACTAAAAAAAAAAATTGGAGAGATACTTATTATATCAAATAATTGGAGCCGCACAAAAGGCATTCTATGACCACCCCTAAAATTGGTTGCAATAATGACCAAATTACTAGAAAAAGGTTGAAATGAGTGACTCAGTTATGGTTATAGGAATTTAATGGCAATGAGCTATTTGTTGAAGTCTTGATTCTTTGAATGAGACCAAAATGGCGGATTTCTGATCGAGACCAGATAACGAATCATATTTATTGTGGGCTTGTTTTTCGGAAGATCCAAATATCATTTCTGTCCTCTTATAACAAGTTCTTTGTCTATAATTCAAGATGGCATCTTACCTATTGGATTCGATGAATGAATTGACGTGATATTAAGGTCCCAGAATGATCAAATTGAATTGGGTTTGCGATTTTGTGATTTCGTTTTAAAGTTGATTCCAAACGAATTGCTGAAATTGAAGCCTTCCCATGTTAATGCTTTGCAAGTGTTCGACGAAATTTCAGAGGCTCAAAAGAATCGAATTGAAGACGGTGTGCTAAAGAAAGTATGTTGTTCTTGGCTTTTGAATTCTCTTTTCTTGAATTGAATTGTTTCTTTGAAATTAATTTTGCGTTTTGGGTTGATTTTGTTTCACCTGAATCAGCAATTTCCATCCTTCTTTGAAGAATTTGTTCTCTTTTTCTTGTTTCGATTCATATGAATTCGTGGTTGTTCTTGATTCTAAGCATATGAGGATTCATGAGCTTGTATCGATGTTTATATAATTTTCTGTCTTCCTAAGGTTTCCCATGATTTTGATGAACACATTACAAGAATGAAATGCAATAGATCAAAATCCATAGACCTGCAATTTGCTATTTTCATCAAAAGGCTGCTTGGTTTGTTTTCGATTAAGTCTTGTATGGATAAAGTTTACTGTATGGATTAATCTCGTCTGCATAGAGTGGGGATTTTTTGGGATGGTTTTTTCATAAATGGAAAGAGTTTGTCGGACTTGGAAAAAAAAATTGGTATTTTGCATAAAGCATCTAACACACTTTTTATATCATTAAGTATTACCGAACAGTCAATGTATAACTGACCAAATAAGCTCCGAGTCCCCTTAGGTTGTTAACAAAGAGGCCCTTAATCCCTTCTTCCACCACTTTCTTATTTTGGTGTTCATAATCTTGCTGTAATTATCATTTTTGTGTAGAACAATGGCAACTCCAGTTCAACCACCAAATGGGGTTAGATCCGAAGGGAAGCATTACTTTTCTATTTGGCAGGCATTGTTCGAAATCGATATAAAATATGTTCCCATAAAGCCGATTGGTCGTGGTGCATATGGTATCGTTTGCTCTTCAATTAACCGGCAAACCAATGAGAAAGTTGCAATAAAAAAGATTCATAATACCTTCGACAACCATACTGATGCTGTGCGAACTTTACGTGAACTCAAACTTCTTCGCCATCTTCGCCATGAAAATGTTATTGCTCTGAAAGATGTAATGGTACCGATGCACAGAACAAGTTTTAAGGATGTATATCTGGTCTATGAGCTTATGGATACCGATTTGCATCAGATTATTAAGTCATCTCAGTCGCTTTCAAACGATCATTGCCAATATTTCCTCTTCCAGGTACACAGTTGCACCGACTGATCGATTCCTGACCAAATTTGAATCTTAGGTACGCAAATATGGGGCTATTTAGCTCATGACCTTCTCTCGATGCTGGTTTTGCAAAATGCTTCTCTAAGCGTATTTCTAAGTTTTTATGGGAGCATGCTAATTTTAAGGGCATATTCTTTAGAACTATGGATAGGTCAGATGAAGGTCATTCAGCTAAAAGAATTAAGCTATTGAGCTAAAAAAACTCATTTAAGGCCATTTACCCAAAGGACCCTGCAAATATGAGTGGCCTTTGGCCATGTTTGGCCAGCATAAACTAGTTTTTCTTAAAACTTATTGGCAAAACTCCATTTGGTTTTGCTATAAGATAGCTTTTTTAAAAGCTGCTTCAAGTGGTGTTTTAATAAGCTTTAGGAACTTTTTTCCAATTATACTCCTTATATTTTTTCATCTAATGTTTCAACATGTCATTTTAATAAGCTCCGGGAGTTTTTTAGCTTATTTTACATTGTCATCTGGCTTATTAGCTAGTTTTTACCAAATATAACTAGCTTATCCGCTAACAGTAAGCTTGCTAGCTGACAACTAGTTTTTTCAACTAATATCTATCGTATAAGTCAACAAGTAGTTTCCCAAAGATAACCCTTGTAAATACTCTGCATTTCTTTCATAGTTGTTGCGAGGCCTGAAGTATCTCCATTCCGCAAACATTCTTCACCGTGACCTAAAGCCCGGGAACCTACTCATCAACGCGAATTGTGACCTAAAAATATGTGATTTCGGGCTGGCGCGTACCAACAGTGGTAAAGACCAGTTCATGACAGAATATGTTGTCACTCGGTGGTACAGGGCGCCTGAGCTCCTCCTCTGCTGCGAAAACTATGGCACCTCGATTGACGTTTGGTCAGTCGGGTGCATCTTCGCTGAACTTTTGGGAAGAAAACCGCTCTTTCCAGGAACAGAATGTCTCAACCAACTGAAACTAATCATCAACATTCTTGGCAGCCAAACGGAAAACGATATCAAGTTTATTGACAACCAAAAAGCAAGAAAATTCATCAAATCGCTCCCTTTTTCACCTGGGACTTCATTTTCGCAGCTTTATCCTCATGCTCAACCGTCAGCAATTGATCTATTGCAAAAGATGCTAGTTTTCGACCCTTCGAAGAGAATTAGCGTCACTGAAGCACTTCATCATCCTTTTATGGCGTCGCTCTATAGTCCGAGCATGGATCCTCCGGTCGAAGTTCCGGTGAGTATGGATATAGATGAAGATTTGGGGGAAGAGGTGATAAGGGAGATGATATGGAAGGAGATGCTTCATTATCATCCTGAAGTTGTTGCTGTTGCTGTTGCCAATCCACAACCAAACTGATGAAAGGTTTGTTGTGGAAGCATAATTTAGCAATTTTTTTTTTTTGGTCTTTAATTTGCATTTTGCAGCCTAATAAGCATGGAATTTAATGCATTGGTAGGTTATGATACTAGAAAACAACTTTTACTTCCAGGAGGTTGTTATGAGCTAGAGTTGTACAGTAATTGTGGGGATATGATATCCACAATAATTATATGGATTTTTGGTCTCTTTTTCATGCTTGAATGTGATGCCTAAGTTTGAAATTAGATGTGGGCATCATTAGCCGGGTCCACGGACCGGTTCGGTTCGGTAATAACTGACTAGCACTGGTCATGCCCGTCAGTTAAGCAATTTTTGATGAAATGTTTGGGACCGGGTTAAGAAGACCGGTTATAGAAACCAAAAACTTTTTTCTTAAATTGGCATGTTGGAGCTAGAGATGCATAAAAAAGACCGGTCGTTGAAGCCTAACCCGAGACCGGCCTGGAAAAGACTGAGCCTAATAAGCTCGGTCCAGGCCACACCTTAAAACCTGATCAGGCCGAATTTTTAGTCCTAGGCCCGAGAAATGCCTAGTTTTTGGTCTTAGGCCCTGGCTAAGCCAAACCCGGAAAATGCCCGATTTTTGGTCCCAAGCCTGGGCCATGTCTTTTTCTAACATTTTTGTTTTTTAAAATTATTTACTCAACACTTGAAAACAAGTGGTTGGAAGGGTGTTTTTGGAAATTCATTTCTAAAGTTAAGAGTTTCATACAATTATTTTTTTGTTTTTATAATTCAAAGTAGTAAATATGTGTAGGCCTTGCTCCAGACCCAGATGGGCACACCATTTCAGACTCAAAGCCCGATCCAAGTTTTTTGTTCATCATCAATAGTGATGGCCAAAAAGGTCCCGGGCCAGGCCGTTCCCATAACCGGTCAAGGTCCCGGGCCGGGCCGTTCCCATAACCGGTCAAGGTCCCGAGCCGGGCCGGGCCGGTCCCATAACTGGTCCCGGTCGGTCTCGATCCCAAAAAACGACGAAAACAATAACCGGTTCGTAACCGTCGGGCCTATAACTAGTCCTTACCGGTCCCGTTCCCATGCCGGTCCCTGTTCCGATCCTCCGGCAGTCTCGGGCCGGGCCGGTTTGGCCATCACTAATCATCAAAGTTGGGTTAGGAATTAGAACGATGCAAACGAAGTCAAGTGATTCAGTTAAAAAAATGTTGATACAAAGTATATTTTATTTGTATATAGGAAGCGTTTAGGTTGACCACTTGACCACGTATGAAAGATCGGTTATGAGACCGATTCAATTAGTTACTATCAGTCTCAGTAATTTTATCTAATACCCGGTTAAAATTAGAAAATATGTAGTGGAAAATATCATCTACACGGGTTCAATTACAGGGGCTGCCAAATCCCTTATGGCCATGGAAGTTCATTTGCACTATTTTCGTTTTATTCGTGGACGCCTAAGGATTAGTCGGTGCATGTAATCTGTCTCGAAAACCCATGGTTACCAAAAAAAATGTCATATAAAAAGTAGATGAACAACGTTGTACATATCGGTAGATTATCTAAATGATATCAATTTAACTTGGTTCGCCGAAAAATATGTGTCTCATTAATACTTATTGTTTGAGCTCATTTTATCATAGCATATAAAATGTTTTTTCATCAATGTCTGCTCGAGTTTTTTACCTAGCAAAAAGTTACAACGAAAGAAGTAGTGAAATAATGTCGGACAACAGCCGGTAAGTAGTTTCGAAGTTCACTTTGGGCTCATACAACAATAACACCTTAAAATCTTTTAGTCTAAACGTGTATAAATTTTTTTATCTTTTTATCAATTATGTCTACAACGGGCATTAAGGTAGAGAACGGGTATATATCGGTTGTAACTTACACTCAATTATCACCAACTACTAATGGAACCATGTTTCCACTAACAACCAACAAAAGTCAAGACTTTTGATGGCTTACACCTCCTAAAACATGTATTTACATTTATTAACATCTCACATAATCCTATAACTAATTATGAATACATATTACACGTATCTTTTCACACAAAATAGTCGTATATTATTGACTTTTGGGTCACGCTTGCTTGAACAATTAACCATACTTAATGCTGATAAACATATTCATCATCAATCAGACAAACAATGCATAAATTATCGACACCCCCGTCGTTATTATTACTCAATTTATTTAATTTTAAAACTTTATTCCTAAAGAAAGTGAGGACGTTTCAAATGCAACACATTACGTTTGTACAACCAATCAATTGAGATATTTATGGAAATTATGAGAGTTCATTTATTATGATTTGAATATTTATGAAAAATGACTAGGGTTCATTAATTATGATCAATACTTTATATTAAGAAACAATATAAACTTTTATGAAATCACATATTCATCAAATTAAATGGACGGTTGAGATTAAGTTGTATTGGTTATACAAATATAAAAGGTTGTATAATAATTCATATATATATATATATATATATATATATATCTCTCTCTCTCTCTCTCTCTCTATATATATATATATATATTAAAATTTCACAAATTAGATTTTATTAACTTTTTCGAATTATTTGAATACTATTTATTTATGATCCCATTAACAGCTAATATATATTTATATAGACAATCTTTGGATCATTAACCAAAATACTCATGTTACTGCAGAAGTATTTCCAGATTAGTTCTAATTAAAATAATGATTAAAATAATGGCAACACCTTTTAATAATCTTAGATGACGTTCTAATTAAATTAATTACAAGTTGTCACTAATTTTGGCGTATTAAGATTAAAGGCGGTTTAAAGCAGGCGCTTTTGTGTGTGCGTATGCAATGACGATTTCTAGAAACAACGACTTAATTAGGTTGTGTACCATTACTAACTAATTTTATATTTATTATTATTTTTTATTTAATTTAATTTTCAAAACTAATATTTAAAGGAACATTTTCTGTTCTATTGCAATTAATAAAACGTTTTATGTAAATTAAAAAAAAACTTATAAACAAAAAAGAAAACAGATTATAATTTTGTTACCTTGCATTTTTTTTATATAATTTACCCTTTAAAATGTATATAATTTACGTATTAAACCCTTTGATTTACGTTCTAAGCGATTTAGTTTTTATAGTAAATATCAATATAGTGATTGTTTCCTATATAAATAAAATTGTCTGTATGTATTAATCTTTCTGTTTAGATCGAAAAAGGTTTTTAGGAAAGTTTTTCATAGATAGAAGCGTCTTTTTTTAATTGTGAATACAAATTTGGAAAAACTTAGCTTTTGACATAAATATTCTCTTAAAAGCTTACTGAGTAAGTCACTTTTTATATCATTAATCCACTATTAAATAGTTCATGTGAGATTACTTGGGATTCTTTTATGCTCTAAATTCACTTGTAATAGCAACTTAAATGTGTAATGCTGAAATGTAGTTTAATTAATGTTCAAAAAAATAATTAAACAATTTTATGAAATTACATATAAAATTGAAAGGACAAAATGTACAAAATAACAACCTACTTTCATAAATTTTCTTATTATAGTATTGTATTTTTAGTTTTTCTTATTACAAAATGTACTTTGAAAATTTATTTGTTATTAGGGAAATGTAGAATGAAAATTTTATCTATTATAGTATTGGGTAACCTTTTAATTTAAATTTATCCATTACACTATATTTTCATGTCACCTCAATGTCCATGTAGGTTGTCCATATATATTTTATTGTTTAGACATTGTACATTTAATCAAACATGTTTACCTAAATTTAGTATATGTTCCTAATATTTTTAATATTTTATTATTTAACACAAGTTACCAGATTTTCATGTCATGTCATTATTCACATGAGATGTCCACATGTAAAATTTTGTTGACTGACATTTCTTATTATAAAATTATACTTTGTAAAAAATTTGATTTTGCATATTACGTAATAAATGTATTAAATGAATTAGAAAAAATTTAAATTATTCATTAATATACCAATATTAAGAAAACTAGCAAAACACAATTTATCTCGCTAACATTTTTAAAAAATATGTATTTTTGAAAAAACAAAATAAGAATTGTTACAATTTTTCTTACCAAAAAATATTTATCTTTTAAAGAATATATCATACTTGTTTAAAAAAATAACTTGACATATCTCTTAAAAACAACTTTTTAAGCATTATGTACTACTATATAATGCTAATTTACTTAATTTTCAAGATTACAAGTAAGTTGTGCATAAGTACAACTTATTAAAGCTTCATGTTTGAATTTGTATAACTAACTGCAGATAAACATAATCAAATAGAGGATAAACATCTCATTTTAAATATAAAAAATCTAAAATATAAGTAAGATAATCATTGAGTTCTAACAAAATACTTAATAATTATCTTTATAAAAATTCTATTATTAAACCAAAAATAAAAAATTGAATTAAAGAAATACACAAAAAAGATAAATTTTTAATCGTTAGTTTGATATTAATACCAATATTATTATTTTTTTTCAATTTTTTATGATATATCTTCATATTTATATTTTATTCAAAAATAAAAACATTATCATTTTCTCAAAACCACATCAAACCGCATTATAACATCGACTGAGACAAAGAAAAAAAACATTAAAACTGAAATGTATATCACTACATTATGCGAGTACCCTTCTAATATATATATATATATATATATATATTATATATATATATAACAAAATAAAATAAGAACTGTTACCCTTTTTTACAAACAAAAAATAGTGACTCGAAAATAATATATTATATTTATTTAAAAATATTTAATCTAGAATATTTAATTTGAATGTAATTTAATAAGAAAAAGTTTAAAAAAATAAAATATTTTTCAAATCGTAGCAATAAAAAGTGAAAATCATTAAAAATAACTTGAAAAAAAAAAATTATTTTTATTTTTTATTTTAGTCATGTCATCAAAATGATGTATCATTCAAATCACCTCATTTAAGTCAAAGAAGCAAAAAAAAAATAAAGGATTAACTAATTTAAAAGATAAAAGGTTACTCATTGTTATAAACAATAATATGAAAGTACATTACTATAATAAGGAAAAATAAACATACAATACTATAATAAGAAAATCTATAAAAATAAGTTGTTATTTTATGCATTTAATCCAAACAAAAAACACAGGCTGATTTATTAAAGCAATGATGCAAT